CTCGCACCCAAAGCAGTTATTGTAAATTAAATGATCACAGATAATAGTTTTGATGTACTCTGCTTGACTGAAACCTGGCTAAAACCAAATGATTACATTGGTCTAAATGAGTTTACTCCACCAAGCTACTGTTATAAGCATGAGCCCCGTCAGACTGGTCGTGCCGGCGGTGTTGCCACAATATATAGTGATATTCTTACAGTAATGCATTCGAGCATGTAGCTATAGATCGGATCGTAAAAAGGACACTATTCACAAGCGGTGACAGAACCAGAAACTCATGTAATTTGTGCACAAAAGTTTTATTAACTAAACACAAACACATAACTAATCTAGACATACAAACAAACATACAAATCACTCATTCATGGGGAGGTTGGAAGTGGATGACTGAAACCGTTAGAGAAACCAGAGAATGCAGTTATGGAAAATGAGTCAGTTAACCACCTGAGTGAAACCATCAGCGCCGTTTTATAATGGGGTCTACAGCTTATCCTAAACCTCTGTTTCGTTTAGTTAAATGTAGGATACTTGCATTGCCTTGGCCTTGAACGAGTGTCCGGATGCAGTCTCGGATAAAAGTCTTGATGTTTTGGAGGTTCAGTGGTGTAGGAGTCGCGATCACGTTCTTCCGGGTTTGAAGAGTGATGAACTCCAAAAAGATGTTATTCTGACTCTGTGGTGGTCGGGAAAGTTTTCTCCAAGATGGAAAGTAAAGGCATGGCTGTAGTTGGCTGTCAGATGGCTGTCAGATCATTAGGATCGAGTCAGTTAGAAATACCAAGGGTTCACACAAAACAAGGGGAGTCCGCTTTTGGTTATTATGCCACCCGCAGCTGGAATCAGCTTCCAGAAGAGATCAGATGTGCTAAAACATTAGTCACATTTAAATGCAGACTCAAAACTCATCTGTTTAACTGTGAATTTATTGAATGAGCACTGTGCGATGTCCGAACTGATTGCACTGTATTTTATGTATAATCATTTTCTATTCTTAACTGTTTTAAATTCATTATAAACCTCTTAAATAAATGTTTTAATAATTTTCAAGTTTTTAAATTCCTTGTTTTATTGTTATTATTATTTTATTTTATTTTATGTAAAGCAATTTTAATTACCATTGTGTATGAAATGTGCTATATAAATAAACTTGCCTTGCCTTGCCTTGCCTAGTTGAGGCCTGCCAGGCACGGATGCGCTGGCCCCGGGAGGGTGATGAGAGCAGAGACAAGAGACAAAAGCCAAAAACCCAAAAAGAAAATCCCAGGCGGGGCTTTTAAGTTCGATGCAGGTCACACCTCTCAGGATTTGAGTGAGCCAATGAGGAATAGTACCTTTGGAGGGAAATTTTACGATCCTTTGTCTCTAGCATGGTGTTTTGCATATGAAACTCGATTGGGTGTTCAAGAGAAGAGTCTTCAAGATTCTTATAATACTAATGTGTTGCATAGGTATCAACATATAATATACACTCTCATTTAGATCATGAAAATACGAACTCATAGATACCAAACATGGTATAAGTGAGATTATATTAACTAGTGATCTATGATAATGCATGCATAAACAGTATACAATACAAGAACAGTAATAACATACAAAAAGGACCTGAGGATATGCGTGTTCATTCAAAGAAAGGTTTGTCTATGAATTAATTAGAGAACAGTCCATTTCTCTGGGCATTATGTGTCTTTCCTATGAGGAAAATGAGTGAGAGTTTTTTCTGCCCGCATTCCTTTGAGCAATAAAACCAGTGTTATCAGATTGTGTGTCTGATTGGTCCACATGCTACAATAGATTCACAAATACACTGCCTGATTTATCTCAACTGCTCTGTGTACCCATAAATACACATAAACTAGACGAAATGACTAGCAAAAGGTCACTATCTT